CAGCATCTTTTTTTGTTTTGTTTCTCACCCTCTCTGTGTTGCCTTTCCTCTTTCTTTTACTATGTTCAAGGACCGAGTCCGTTGCTTCATGTCCTCACTTGCACCGCCCTCTAGCTACACACACCACAGCAGCAGCCGGCACCAGTCACACGTCACACACCCATTCCTCCACACGCTACTGTCTGTGTGGTTGATATGGACTGCTGGAGAGCGTGTAAATTGAAATAACCCAATCGTCTTTACCGCCTCACATGCTACAGGCCTAAGTGGCCTGGTCTGTCCCTCTCTCTGACTGGTGCACCGCCGCTTCACCGGCAGACAAAAAAAAACCCAGGTAAATCTGGGTATGGGATGTACTGCATTCCCTCCGGGACCTTATGTCAGCAGAGAAGTAACCCTCAAAAACACCTTGGCAGTGCAGGAAACGAGAAAAGATATGGCTTTGTTGGCATTTCTTTTTTCTGATTGCAGAAAATACAAATTCAAAATAAAAACATTTTTAAAACAAAGCCCAAGTTGCCGGCCCTATTCTTCAGCAGTTGCTAAAATGCAAAGATTTTATCCTAACAATCTGTCAAGAGAATTCCAGCAAAACTCTTTGTGTTTTTAGCATTGTGCCCAAGGAAGTAAGCATTTCTAATGGACAAAAGGCAAAGCCAGAGTCTGTGCAGTGTTATGACAATAACAAAATACTATGTGGACATTATGGATGAGATGGCAAGAAAATATTTATTAAAGGGTGTAGGTGAGAGGGGATACTGTATTGCTGTGTTGTACAACATACAGGACATTGCAGGACAAAATTCCACAATCTTTTCCAGAAGTCCCCTGCATCAAGATCCTGCATAAGGAGACAACATTTCAGATCGACACACAGAGAGGTAAGACCAATGTAAACCTCTCTGAGACAAACTGATCTTTGGAGTACAGCCTGATAGTAAAGAGAATGTAATGGCTGAATACATCTCACTGATTTAGATCTACTCTTCTTTCAGTCAGTTTAGCTCTTTTTCCCATATAATAAAAAGCAACAAACAATACATTAAATCATCTTGTTCTGGGGCAGAGCTATCAGAAAATATCATCCATCCATCCATTAATTTTCCGACACGCTTATCCCTTCTGGGGTCGTGAGGTCTGCAGGTGTCTTCAGCTGTCTAAGGGTGAGAAGCGGGGTAAATCTGGACTGGTTGCCAGTTTATCACAGTGCAACAAAGAGACAAACAGGACAAACAACCATTTACGCACACACTTACAACTAAGGAGAAGTTAGAGCCAATTAACCTCACAGGGAATTTTTTTGAACTGTGGGAGGAAACCGGAGTACCCGGTAAGAACCCATGCATGCACAGGAAGAACATGCAAACTCCATGCAGAAAGAGCAAGAATCAAACCCGGAAGCTTCTTGCTGAAAGGCAGCTACCCCCTGCAGCACTGTGCAGCCCCAGAAAAAATAAAATAAATGATATGATCAATCAGCAAGGGTCTCTTTTTCCATTCACACATGCATGTGTGTGCATCCGTCACTATGTGTACATGTATGTGCTCATAATTGCACATGCAATCCTGATGACAGCTTAATTGAAAAGTTTTGCTGCTTATACTGCTTGCAAGTATGAGAAGATTAAACAACTACAGGTTAGAAACAACCATCATAGCAGAAAATGTAGCTTATTGTGACAAGCCATAACAAGGCTACAACAGCACCAAGAGTGCTACATCTTTGAACAGAAATATATATCTGCATATCTTTATAACACTATAGAAGTGTAGCTTATTTTTTTCTTCAGGATAATATGCAGCTTGGTTCATATCTGATTAATAAGCAGCATACAAAGTTTCTCTGACAGATTAAAACCAGCGAAGAGACAGAGTTCACAGTGCTAATTCTCACTGGCCATCTGATGAGGTTTAAGCATTTGCATTAAATTTTCTCTGTGTCCCTCTTATCACACTCACTTACAACATGAATATGCATTCAGCCCAAATCAGATTCAAAACTTTGTTTAATTGTCTACCTTTGAATATCCATCCTGCTTTTTATGATTTACAGGATTTGCAATATATTTCCATAGCTTATCCCAGCTGTCATTTAGCAGAGCTAAATCATCATTCTGTCCCACATACATCATGACAGACAATGGAAACACTGATTAAGGTTCACACCTATAGTTGAATTCAATTTAAAATGAAGTTCTCCCACTTACAAATCATGGATGGGTCTGAAATTGCCATCGCCTATCCACTGTGAAACAATCTAAAATAATAAAATCCAGAAATGCATGATTTTTTTAACTATTTATTTGCATCATACAGCTGCAAATAAGTATTTGAACAGCTGTCTATCAGCTAGAATTCTGAACCTCAGAGACGTCAAAATGCCCACCTCCACTTCATTTATTATCCTAAATTAGATGCACCAGTTTATGGTTGTTAGCTGCATAAAGAAAACTGTCCACCCCATACAATCATTAAGAATCCAACTAATAACATGACCAAGACCAAAGATACCAGAGACAAAATTGTACACCTCGACAAGGCTGGACAGGGCTACAGGGAAATTACCATGCAGCTTGGTGAAAAATATTTATTTTCTCACTGTATGTTTGGACTTAAACACAAAACCATAAAACCTGAAGAAGATCCGGAGAGAGAGGATAAAACGTATGAGCTCCAGTGAGTATAGCTAAAAGAAAGACTCAAACCTCAAATCACAAAAACATCCTGTATTACACTTAGTGGAGGTCTTATTATTCGACATGCTGGTTCACAGCCTTGGTTTAGAGGGACACTGAAGGCAACTAAGCCATCATTAGTATTATTAATTCCATCTGTGCATTTCCCACTGTGACAAATTAACAAGTCTGCTCTGGGAAAGGTTTTTGCTCACACACTGCCAGACTGTCTAGATGCCTCAACAGAAATGCAGAACGGGTTCATATTCTGTTCTTTGTTTTCCTCTCTGTACACCTTCCAGCACCAAAACCAATATCTGGCAAAACTAGATCTTTAAATCCATTTACCAAAGCCTGCAGATTTAAAGCATAAAGATGGAGATTACTGTAGCTGTCTGGCCCATCTGTGCTCTGTTCAAATCCACAATAACACAAACAATAGAACTCCCTCAAAATCTTACTGTATACATTTTAATCACACAAAATATATATAAATGTCTAAACTAATGTATGGATACCACAGTTCCACAAACTCAGTACCTCAAGTTCTTATCATTTTCCTGTAATAAGTGTTTTTTCACAACAGAAAAAAATGACCACATACAGTAATTGAAGCAGAAGCCAATGTTATCCGGTTTACATATACAAGCAGATATTAGATCTTATATAAGCCTCTCAATGGTTCACACAGCCTCAAGGGACTAGTTCAATTACACATGAATGATCAAATACAGAGAAGAGTTTTAACTATGGCGTTAATGATGAGCATCACATTAATGTTGGTAAATAAAATTTAACAAGATCCCTTAGGAAGGAAATATAAAGAAGAAATTGCAGATAAGCAATTAGGAAATACACTGATTAATGTTAAAGCACAAAGTAGATGCAGTTAAGTAAATTGGACTGTAATTGTTTTGGAGATTTCATTCCAGCTTAGATGCATTGCATGATTTCTTTTAACTATTTATTTGCATCATACAGCTGCAAATAAGTATTTGAACAGCTGTCTATCAGCTAGAATTCTGAATCTCAAAGCCGTCAAAATGTCCACCTCCACTTCATTTATTATCTTAAATTAGATGCACCTATTTATGGTTGTTAGCTGCATAAAGAAAACTGCCCACCCCATACAATCATTAAGAATCCAACTAATAACATGACCAAGACCAAAGAGCTGTCCAAAGATACTAGATAGGAATGCACGATATTGGGATTTTGGCCGATATCCGATATGCCGATATTTTAAAACTCATGTAGCCGATAACCGGCATCGATACCGATGTTAAAGCTGGACAAAAATAAGTAGTGATTGAAAATAGCAGTTTTGTTATCCATTTCTGACACTTTGAAAAATAATATACTCAAATATATTTTCATATGCTGATATCAAATTGATTTTTAAAAACACAGAATTGATCTATTTTACTTTCAAAATCTCGTGAAATTTAATCGTTGTGTTACAAACTCGTGATATTTTGCAAATTCTTGTGAGATTTTGTTAGTAAAATAGATCGATACCGCGTCAGTATATCAACATATAAAAATATGGCAAAATTTTGTATATTTTCGGGGGATTTCGTAGCATAACGATGACATATAGCAATATTTCATTAGTAAAAGAGATTGATATGGTGTTTTTAAATGGCAATATATCAACATATGAAGATATTGTGATATTTTAATGTATCAATATTTTTTCCCTCGTCTTTAGAAGTTTTTAAGTCTGTAAACCTTCACAATATGATGACAGTTTTTGAGGAAGAAGAAGAAGTAGTATTTTTTTTTAGACTTTAGAAACTCAGAAGCTGATCAAATATCGGGTTAAATATCGGTGGGGTGGCCGATATCCGATATTCAGTTTTAAGGCCGATACAGGCCGATACCGATAGGGGGCCGATTATATTGTGCATCCCTAATACTAGAGACAAAATTATACACCTCCACAAGGCTGGACAGGGCTACAGGGAAATTACCATGCAGCTCAGTAATATTTTACATACCTTATGTCAATTTTCAATAGCAAAAATATTAAAGCACATTTTCTATTAGCAGGACATCTAAGTGTATCTTTTTTTTTTTTTTGCAGACCTAATTTCATAAATGTAAATTTGGCTAGTATCTTAGTCACAGCAGTGATATGTTTTTAAGCTTAGAAGTATTCACCAGAAAGAAAAAAAAAACAGCATTATAATGGCAGCTAAATATTTAACTTTCTCTGATAAAATGTAACAGTTTTTTGTATTATAACTCAATGAAATAAACATTTATCTCTTGAGTAAAATCATCCATTAACAAAGACCACATGGGTTCACTTTGCAGACTTACCTTAGTGTGGAGCTTGGATAACTGCTTTTCATCTATGTAGGTCTGAGTGTAGATACGTCTTTTATAGCGGAACTATAAAGAAAGCACAAATAACATTCCAGAGTTATGCTTTAACCCTTTTGATTTTCTAGATAACTAAAATGATTTTTTTAAAATAGCTGCCTTATATTGCTGTTCAAACAAAAATATGAGATTAATTGTTTCACCATTGCTTAAAAGAGAATAGGCAGAAAGATCTGTGAAAGATATTTTTACTCTTTTAATAACAGTTCATTGGTACTGGGGGAGACCAAATATCTCCCTGTAAACACCTGTCATTTCTTTCCAGCATTTCCGTTTATTATCTTTTCCAGATATTAATTTAGCCTCAAAGCCTACAACTCACTAAGCTGCTGGTATGAAATGTAACTGCAAAACAATAACCAGGAAACTGAACAAATTTGAGCTAAAAAAAAATAAACATATTTTGGTTTGACATAAGATTCATTCTGCACATTCATTATTCAAATGGTGTTTGCCCACGGTCTGTAAAGCAGCATGTTTTCAAATGGTAATTTGTCAAAAAGTAATGAGGGAAAAATCAAAGACTGCATCAATAAATAGCTCAGAGAGCACATAACTTCCCACCGAAAGGCTGAGAAATATTCTTTTAACAAGGTGATGGCAAACAGGGTGAAGATGACTCAGGTCCCCGAAATAATGAAAAGTTAAAGAATAAAGGATTTGAAAAACCTAGGAAGACTACAGTAAGTTCAGTGGAACATGGCTGGATACTGGCAAAGATGGGAAACCACAGATAATCAGTTACTTGTGAAAGCAGTTATGGATAGTGCTGAACTTTTACTTCTCTACTTTAACTGCCAGCATATAAAAAAGCTACCACCAAAGTGTAATAAGTGTGGACTAAGATCTTTACTGAACCTTGTCACAATGTTGAAATCATTGAAGGTTATGTTCTATCTTCTGTGGCTAAGGCTTGCTGATGTGACCTTTTTTTCTCCTCTTTCTCCCTTTCATCTCTTTTTAACTCACCTAAAAATATGCTCAATAGCTTATATGAACATGCTTGTCTCTGCTAACCTGATGCTGATGCTAAAGCTTGCTAATGCTAAGATGGTAGCCACCTTTAGGGTGTAGTGAGTGGTGCTTGCTGTTTACGAACATTATTGTGCAAAATTCACTCCATGTATTGTTCTATAATACCACATCTCAGCAAATTGATATAAAAAAAACATAACTAAGTGTGGGAGATTCCTTTCTCCAACGTCACAACATAACATGGTGGCTATCTCCAGGTGTCTACAGGCGAGAGGCGGGGTAAACCCTTGAAAGATCACCTGTCTATCGCAGGGCAACACAAAGACAAACACTCACACCTAAGGAGAATTTAGAGATGCCAATTAACCTAAGAGTCACGTTTATGGATTGTGGGAGGAAGCCAGGGTACCTGGAGAGAACCTAGACATGCACAGGGAGAACATGCTTCTCCATGCAGAAAGACCGGGAACCTCCTTGCTGCAAGGCAGCAGTGCTATCCACTGTTCCCCTGTGCAGCCCATAACAAAACATTTCTTTGATTAAAATATTTAGTGATCACAAGGGCTCCACAATTATTTGCTTTAGTGTGCCATTTAAAAGTTGTGTATCTGCGCACATAGTTCTGCATATAAACATTATTCATATGTTAGGCTTTAAAACCAAATTGTGTGTTTAATATGCATGTTTACCAAACTAAGAGAGCTGTTTTAGCTGTTCAGCACTTATTCACACTATGGCGCTAAATACTAAACCATTTTAAAAATGTACTTTCTTAAAATGCTTGAAGTAAAACAGTCAATAAGTTAAGAAACCACCACCTGAATGTTGATTAAATACTTTTAAAATGCCCAAAAATGTAAGACAGGTTTCAAAATAGCATTTTATCTCTATTATTTATATATTTTATCTATACCCAAAGTAAAAAAAAAAAAAAAAAGCAGAAAGGCTTTGCTATTGAACACATGCTGAGTGTACAATGTTCAAGAATCCACATTTAAGATATATTTAATGTTATGATCTTTATCTTAAAAAGTTGCATGATAAAATGCTTCAGTAACTCTTTGTAACTAAATAAATTGTAAAAACTAATTCTGTAACATAGCAGTTTACAGAAATTAAATCTAACTTCAATTCTAGTCTGAGTCTTTAATGTGTTTCCTTTCTCTGCCCTTATTTCAGCTTTACCTACAGAGTAAATCCAGAAGCGAACAGAAGATTTTTAGCTGCTAATCCAAAACTGTCAATCATCTCTACACACCTCAGGCCTGAGGGTACAACTGCAGGTCAGTAAATGGCACACACAGTGTTACAATAGAGCTCTAGCAGACATGGGAAATACACCCGGCCAGATCCCAACCTATTCAACTTAAGTGCAAGCATTTTAAGCAAAAGTATAAACCATTCAACAGACATAAAACAATAGACCAAACTTAACGTCATTCCACTGTGTGATGTAAATGCTACATAGCAATGCTATCCTGCTACTTCAGATCAATTAGATTAATTTGGTAGGAGAATCTAATTAAATTGAGTGTTTGTAATTTTAACAGTATAATAATAGGTACCAAATAAATGCCAAGAAATAAAAAGCTAGTTAGTTAAAAGGTAAAAGTAATTTTACATTTCTTCCTCTTAATAAAGCTCTGCACTGTTAAAACCTGAGCAAATCTAAAGATAAACATGATCCCTTATAAAACCATCTGACAACTTCAGGCCACAGTCTGTGAAGTGATTTTATGGGTATGCTATTCTCTCAGATCACAAACTATGATGGACAAGCACTACAATTATCTCTGAGAGATGACAGATGCTCTAAACACCAAACTGCCTTTGAGGACAGCATTATTGTTGGACTGACACAGCATGATAGTCGCATACAAACAAACATGGGGTGGGGTGCCTTGTAAGCCTGCGTTTAATCTTTTTTTTAATTCATAGACTTTTAAAGAACACAAAATCTTTCAACAATAAGTTAGGCATTATTGATGTTGTACAAGATCCTTATTTATTACATTTTGTGAAACGTACTTGTTGATCCATGTATCACGTGGTAACAGTATACTGTATTCTCCATAGATCAAGGAGATCTGAAAATAAAGTTCTTCCTGAAAAAAAACTTTGTCAAATCTTTTAAAAGTCTGTGAATGATTGTATTTTAGTTTAATTAAACCGAATTTAAATCCTTGCCTATGATTTAAAAAGTGGTTTTGGAAGAAATCCAAAAAGGTGGGGGAAACCAGTAGGGGTGTAAATCACATCCATCATGGCGATTCGATTCAGTATCGATTTCCTGACCCACCGATTTGATTATTTTCGATACTCAAGGATACACCACGATTCGATTCGATTCGATTAATCGATTAATCGGTTAATTTTTTTTTTTTATTATTATTATTTTTTTTAAACCTTACAGGCTAAACAAAGTTTCAAGCTGGAAATAAATCAATGAAAGCTGTAATATCATTATGCATTTTCTTTAGAAACAACAGCAAATAACAGAAGTAGAAAAGTTGCATCAAAAAATACTGCACAATATCAGTGTAATGAGTTCAATGCCATACCCCGGCTCCAGAGAAACTGTCCAAAATATTTTTTTAGAATGTAATAAATATACTCAGGAAAGAGAGATGTTGCGTAGAGAGTTAGACAGGAATAAAAATAAACTAGATATAAGGGAATTGTTTCAAAGGTCATCTGGGGATGTAGTTTTTGGTAGTATTTTTAATTTTCTAAGAAGAACGGGTATTTTAGGGAGAATATAATAGTTTGTCTGGTCCATACTCCATTCTGGAAGGTGGCGGTAATGCACCTATAAGTTGTTTGCCAACCGCCATTAAAAAAAAGAAGAAGAAGAAGGCTCCAGAGTGTCGACGTCACCGCCCCCTTGAGAGACGCTCCGCTGCACCTCTCCCAGACTGTAGCTGACCGCAAACAGTGCACCAGACAGGAGGCCGGCTTGTTTTGTTTTTATGACCAAAATTGCGGAAAACAACTCGTGAAGTTTGACCCGCTAGAAGAGCGAGGTGCGCGAGACCGCTGGGACCCTTTTTCCAGCTGAATCTCCGTCCTTTTTGGCCCTCATGTCCCTCCGTTGTCGGACTAAACTCGTCCCCACTTCCTCACCGCCTCGGCCGTATCTAGACCCACAGTGTGTAGCTCAGACCACGCTTCAATACTGAGCATAATTTAAAAATGTCTGTGTGAAGCTTGCTGCAACAAACTGCTGTAAGAGTATAACCAGGAAGCGCGGTACGAGGGCAAAATAGGTTTAGCGGCACCGCAGCACGGGAGGGAGAATTACGCCCAGGATCAAATGGATAAAAATAGACCGGAGGAAAAAAAAACATGTATCGATTATCTTGCGGACGTGTCGATGCATCGGATCGTCGGCTTTTGGATCGATGCATCAATACAAAACGATTATTATTTACACCCCTAGAAACCAGCATAATTCTCTCTGATAGATTTTTCTTCAGAGGAAAGTGCAGTAGATGTGATTTTTAAAGAAACTTTAAATCTTCTGAATATACTGGCCAGTCTGACTTATTTCCAGCATGTACACAACATTTTAGTGTGTAGAGGAGTGGGTAGAGCTCAGTTTCAAGGGCAGGGCTAACGAAAACAGGTAACAACCAATGAGATAACTACTGTACAGATGTCAAGTGAAGACTTTTTTTTTTATAAGTTCTAATAGCAGCCAGGTTTTTAAACTAAAATAATATAAACAGCTCTTTCAGAACATAATACAGAGTGTCAATAAAACATAGCTCTGTTGTATCTGCATTCTTGACTGTTAAAGCCATCATTCCTTTAACAGATTTAAATTCAAAGGTCTTCACTGAATGCATGCTCCTCAAGAAAAATTAAAATCATTGCTTTTAAACCAATAATTGTTCAGAAAGATCAATATTTTTTTTTCTATTTAGGTTTAATAAAAGAAAACATTGAAATAATAATAAAAATAGATAAGTTATAAAAATAATATTTTTCAAAACAGACCATCCTGATATGGAGAATACATGAAAAGCAGAGAAATGCTACATAGAAGGATTCATACAAACACCTGATTAACACCTACCTCCAGATAAGGGACAGGGGCAAAGGATGGGAAAGGATATTCCCTAAGCTGTCTCTCCTCATCCAGAAACTTGCCAGCCCTGCCATTGTAAGCTGGCTGGAATAGGCCATAGTTGAGTACATCCTTCAGGCTCTGGTTGAGGGTACACAGGATTCGTTGCTTGGACAACCAGATAGGTGCATCCACATTGAATTTCAAACATTTCTGCAGAGAAGAGCAAATGAAGGAAACATTTAGTTTAAAGAAAGGAAAACATCAAGTATTCTTTTTAATTTCAAAGCGATCGTATATTTTACAGTTATTTTTGCGGGTTTTAAAGAGGTGACAGGAGTTTTTATAGGAAAAACTGTGCATGATATAAATTCCAAGGGTCATTGGGTCTGAGTCACAAGAGTCATGTATTAAACTTTCTATGGCTAAACCAGTCAAAACATGACCTTTTGTGAAAATATGTGATAGACACTGGTATAGCTAGCATTTCCCCACCATCCACTGCTGATTACAAAAGGTCCTTTCCAAGACCAGCTGGGACAATTACAATGGAATAAAAACAGAACTAAAATCTAAAGGCTTACTCAGAAAACTCATGCGCTTATAATCATTGATCAAAATTATGTGTGTGACTAGAAGTGAATGTTTATTCAATCAAATACTCCTTAAAGAACTCTTTTTAAACAAACTTATAAGTATAAATAATAAGTATTCATGACACTAGTTATAGCAAAACCTTGTAGCCACAAATTAAACAATGAAAAGATGTTGACTCTTGTAAATAACAACAACCAATATATTAATAGAAGGGTTAAAAATCTTAATAACATATGATGCACAAAATGAGGTCTTTGTTGACTCACTGTGACACATCAATTGATTGTAATATTTTTACACTGTTTTAAGATGTTTGAAAATAGGGAAGGGCTATACAGTAGTTATTAGAAATTTCTCAACTGTCATCATATTGTGAAGGTTAGATCACTGTTGGTATATATATACAGAGAGAGATCTGCATCATCAACTTACCACCTTGACTAGCCAGACACAATGACTGAAAATACATTTTATCAATACATTTCAAAATAACAATTTTTCACGTGCTGTTGCCAATAACCATGTACTTAGCTTGGTTATAAATGTTGAAGGTTTAAACTGTTGCAGAGATGTTAATGAAGACAATTCTAGCTGAAACATTCAGGCCAAAAAGTGTGATATACTGGTCTATGTTGTAAAAGGCAAAGCAAGCTAATGTACATAGTGTATATACATTTCAGTGACAAAGAATGTAAAGACTTATACATGACAAAAAAGAAATGCAAGTGCATTACAATAGCATAGAGATAACGCAAATAATGAAATAAACTAAAAGTGAATCATTAAAGGTAAAATTACTTATAAAAATAGGACATTTGGACTAAAACTTAACTAATATAACTCAAATATATTTTCAATCACAACTTAAAGCAACTGAGTGCTTTTACAGTTTTCGGTGAGTTTATTCTGGATGAGTGGAGGATAATAACTAAAAGCTGCTTCTCCATGATTAGTTCTGTGAATGCAAAGTAGAGTCAGAAGCCCCCTGAGGTATGCGTGGATACATTTAAATCAAGTCCGTAATATATTTAGGAGCTAAACAATTCAGTAATTTAAATTGTATTTTTCTGAGATAAGCGGAGCCAGTGTAACCATTTTAGAACTGCATTGGTGTTCTTCACTTTCTTAGTTTTAGTGAGGATATGGGCTGCGGCTTTCTGGATCAACTGCAGCTGATTGACTTTTTCGGCAGAAATATGTTGATATTTTGCTAAATTACAAAATGCAAAGTCGTAATTTCAGTATTCCCATTAACAAAAACAAATACATATAAACATAAACAAGATGGACAATTTGACCGACCAATCTATTTATTCTTTTATCTTCAGGATCTCAGGTATGCCAGTGCTAAATTAGTAATCACTATTGCAAAAGGCTAAAACCAGCACTGGCAATGGACCTGGCAACATGGGCTAACAAATCAATATAAACCATTGTTGTTTATTATTAATTGGTCTCTTTTTTTTCCAAATGACTATGCAATAGAAAAAAAAAACTATGATGTCTATAGCCCTTTCAATCCTGGATTTTTTGCTCTACTCAGCTGCTGTGAGGAGAGATAACTGTTTAAACTGAGAAGGACAGACAGAATTAGGAAGGCTATTAGCTTTGTGTCTAAAAATGCATAAGAACCCGTAAACAAAGGCAACAACCCAGTGGCAACAAACATAATAAGACATTCAAGGACAAGAGGACATAAATGTATAAAAACAGGCCACCAAACAGAAAGGCAGACTTTGTTTTCAAACATTCATCAACAGTTGTAAGAACATTAAATAAGTTGTTTTCCATTTTTTGCAGAGGATACAGTATGATGTATTTAGATTTTTATTGCTGTCCAGTTTTTTTTAAATATATTTCTATGTAGAAACTTGAGCCACATTTTAGTTTAAAGACACTTTTGACCAACTTTTATTTCACTAATAACTTGCTGTTGTTGTTTGTTTTAAAGTTGATTGTAATATCTTTAATTGTAATATCTATCAATTCAATTCAAAAATACTTTATCAAACCCAAATGGAAATGTAATAAAGTATATACTTATTTATATATCATTTATATTTTTTATACAACTATACAAAGTTTACACAATTGTGCTTGAATCCTGTTAAAATTTTTATCACTTTAGATAGTGTACAGTGTACTGAGCTGTTAAAAAAAGTCAGAAGAAAAGGGAATTATGATGTCAGTTTCCTTAATACCAAAGCCTGCTATGCAGTTGATTTTGTTAAATTAAAATGTGTTTCATAAAAACGTTTTAGTTTATTACTATGTCCATGTCTCTAGCACAAATCAGGGACAGCAACAAGGTTGCTCCTAATTCTACGTTCAAACCGCACGCAATGGGAGCAGCAGAAGCAGCTGCTTTATATGCAAAGTCAATGATTGACACGCATTGAGATTTCTCAAAAGGTCCTGCAGCGTTTCGTGCAGCAAGAGCAGTTCATCTTGACGCATGGGATCAACAGATGCAGCCCCTCATGAGCTTCTGAGCATCTGAGGCGCATGATATGCTCCACAAACAGCTGGAAAAAATGAACACCAATCAGAGAAGCTAATCTTGGAGCTGGCAGGGAGACAGACACAGCACACCTAAATTATGCCTAAATTAACTTAAAATGTTGAAACCTGCCGGCAAAATATGTTTGCTTTTATTATTCTGGTCCCGGCAGTTTGTTCCACATACCTTAAAAACGCTAACATCTACTTTCAGCCGCCAAGAACAGCAGTGGAAATCCTCCAGCTGCTGCTGGGAATTCCCAGTGACAGTGCACCGCCGGTAAGTGGGGATCTGAGCGGCTCCAACAACAAAATAACATTTAAAGGCAGGATTGTAATCTTGATGAACTGACTGCACAGACTAATTTTTGAGGTGGATTTTCTCGCTTAAAAATATATTTAAACTACTTTTTACCAGCTTATCACAACAAATATAGCAAAGCTGCTCTCTGCCATTGAACACAGAAGCAGCAGAAGCATCAGAAACATCTGGATACACTTCACTGGATGCGCTTCAGGAACGTCAAGGATGCTCTAGAGGTGTGTTTGACCTTAATGTGTACAAGCTTAAAAAATTAAGCAACATGCGCTTTTTGCTGCCCAAAGAACATGCAGTGTGAACATAGCATAAATGTGGAGAAGGGCAAACTTTAATAGGCAGCTGTGGCAAATAACTGGTTTAAATTTCAGTGACTAATCTATTAATCCATCTGAGCTTTTTCCTCTTTTTTTCATATCAGCCTTTTCTGAGTAAAAGCAATGTTCAAAAGCATTTTATGACTCTACTCTATCGTTCAATAGTTTCCACTCAGCTGGTTCACATAACCGAAACATATTTTTCATTCTTTTTCATTTAAAAACAATTCTACAAACAGAAAAGTATTTTCGATCACATGCTTTTTATTCAATATATAACACTTACTTACCACAATATCCAAACTGTGCTACTCTATCTTTGTGGCAAATAAACCAAACTATCTTGAAGGAATTATCTTACAACTAAGGAAAAGAGTCAAGTATTATAAAATACCTAACATGACTCTCAAAGGCAGAAACATTAAGAAAAACAAATAGTTTGGGGATGTGTAAATCTCATAAATACCTTTGAAACTTTTTAAATACCATTGGTGGCATATATCCTATACAATCAACTAAAGACACAGAAAATCTGTTTAATATAACATAACAAATAAAATGTTAAAATAATTATTTTCATTTAAGCAAGGAAAAAGTGACGCGTCATGGTAAATGGCCTGTACTTATATAGGAGACTTGACCAAAATGCTCTAAACTACTTCCAGTCATTCTTCGATTAGCAATAAAAGTTGGAAAGGAAATAATTATTTTGGAGAATAAGTCATTAAGGAACAAAGAAATCATACAGAAATAATTTCTTAAAAATCAGCTATAACTCATTAACACTACATCATAAAGGAGCACAATGTCTGTAAAAGTGGAATATGTCAGAGCCAGATTTAACATTTGAAATATGAAAGAACAAATAACCAAACCAAGCAAAAAAAACAATACCGAACATCATATAAAGACTAGAAAATGGAAAAGCAAACTCCTTATATAGTCTCAAAAATAATAATACATAGTTAGCTTCTCTTCCAGGTTGGATTTTCTGACCATGTTACTGAGTTAAGTGGTGCACAGACATCACTTTCTATGTAAAAATATTGCATTTTTACATTTTAAAAGTTTGTGAAATACAATAACAATGTAAACACTAATATAGTAAGAGTTTTTAATATTCATAAATAAAAGTAAAAATATATGACATTATATATTGCATTCTATTTCTATTTTAAGATATTTTTTGTTGCACTTTTACAAAAGAAAACAGCATTCAGGTCCAGTGAAGAGCTTGATGTTCAATGCTTTTCTAGCAGGTTAATCTTGACAGTGATCTAGGAGTTCTTTGCATGGCACTAAAAATCCCATGTGGTCATATTGATCCCAGGCACATAATGCATTCTCATGCTCTGCTGTCTAAAAGCTTAAAGGTCAAACACATTTAACAGTAATCTCCTAACTTTGCATTTATAAAGATTTTCTTTTTCCCACACTACATCAGTATTTTCACAGTGAAATGTATTATTGAAGACTGTTTT